TATATATATATATATATATATATATATATATATATATATATATATATATATATATATATATATATAAGGACTGCATCATCATTGACTGTACGCGCTACCGAGTTAGGCAGCTGCAGTATATATATATTTACAATTTTGTATATATATTTAATTTAATAGAATTGAACCAATTAATATTCAAAGAAATAGCAGAAAACTGTGCCAGCATAATGCCTCAATATATCGAGGCAACGGAGGACTGCCTCAGCTCGTAAGAAACCATAAACATGAATAGAAAAGAATGCAATTCAAGAATAATTTCTCAATGCCTCCGTGTATATATATATATATATATATATATATATGAATATTTATTTATAATAGATATATATACATATATATATGAATATTTATTTATAATAAAAGCGCAAACCAAGCTTCCAAACCTAGTAATTCCTTTTCATCACCCTTTGCGCTGGTTTCATTAGCAAAATCCTGTCGAAGTTTTTCAGCTCTATCTGTGAGATCAAAGGCTTTTCTTCTGGCGATATGTGCCATTTTTTCAGAAGAATTATCTAATTGAGGATCAAAACATTGTTTTAAACTTGTATTAGCTCTTCTGCGGATATCAATGATATGCAAAAGCTTCACTATACGTTGAGCTGGGCTCGCTCTGTTTCCTAGTGTTGCTTTTGCTGCATCTACAACAGTTTCAGCCATACCCGGAACATTCACAGGAGCAGCTTTCAATAGGCCAGTAACATCACTAAGAGCTACAGCGAGATCTTTATATTTGGGTGCTTTTGTTTTCCATTCAGCAGGGATATTCTCTGCGTGTACAAATATATCTACCACAGTTAGATGCGCAGCCAGCTCCATCATATCGTACTGTAACACTTGCAGAGCTCCAGTTTCTGCTGTGAGTGCTTCTTCATAAACTCTTCGAGTTTCGGCCAAAACGGCTTCTTCTTTTTCTATATTTAGAGAGATTTCGCCGCTTTCTAGCAACGCACTGACAGTAGCTGGGAGCTGTGAACCCGTTTCTATGTGATCTCTTAGTGTAAGATGTAGTTGTTCTTGAATTAGCATACGAGCCAGAGCTTCCTCTCTTCTGCGGCGAGCATCGAAAGCTTTAAGAGCTGATAAAGCTGCTTTTTGTTTTGTGTTTTCAAGCATTATAGATTTCAATATTTCTGTTGATGTTTGTTTCGGTTCTTCTTTCTGTGGTCTTGTTAGTAATTCAACAAAAGAATCTGCTGCCTCCTTTCCACTCTGATCCTCTATAAGCTGTATTGCTTCTGTTGCCTGGTTTATTATCTTTTCTTTCTCTCCTCGCGGGTGAGAGTATCGTGGCTGTGGAGAAACAAACACAGGCGCCAACATTTCTAGTACGGAATCCACTGTTTCTTTTTCACACTGCTCGGTGGTGGTGGTGGTGGTGGGTGCTTCAACAACCTCTTCTGTTTCTTCTGTTGCTGTTTCAGTTCGTTCTGTTCCTCCTGTTTCTCCTGCAGATAAATATCCATCATCTCCCTGTTGTATTTCTTCTTCATTTTCCACTTTTTCTCCTTTTTCTTCTCCCTCTGATGGATATCCCTCATCTGATATTGTTGCATCTTCTTTTGCAGCTTCTTCTTGGCTTTTACTATCCGAAACTTCTTCTTCTTTTGTATATGATCCTCTTCTGCGGAAACTTTTCTTTTTACTATCTTTCTCCTTTGATCCACCGATCTTAAAGAAACCTTTTTCTCTCTCTTTGCTTTCTCCTTTTTCTTTATCCTTAGATTCTTTCTCTTTATCTTTCGAATCTCCCTTTTCTTTTTCTTTTGATTTCCCTTTTTCTTTATCTTTTTCTCTACGGGATCCTTTTTCCTTTTCTTTAAGCTTTGCTTTCTCCTTTGCTTCCTTTTCTTTTTCTTTGGCTTCTCTCTCTCTATCTTTTTCCTTTCGTGACCCTTTATCTTTTTCTTTAGATTTCCACTTATCTTTTTCTTTCGTTTCTTTCTCTCTTTCCTTTGCTTCCCTCTCCTTATCCTTCGATGATCCCTTCTCTTTATGTGAACCTTTTTCTTTGAGGAATCCTCTATCTTTGAATATCCCTTTATCCTTAAATAGACCTTTACCACGGGGTGTTTCCTTTTGGGTGAGAGCTGCAGCTTCCTCTTCTTGTTTCTGCTGCTCCTCTTCTTCGTGTTTCTCCTCTTCTTGCTCTTGATCACGATCTTTTTCTTTTTTCTTTTCTTGACTCTCCCTTTCCTCCTCACCCTCATCCTCACGCTCCTTTCGTTTCTCCTGTTCTTCCTCCTCTTTCTCCTCTTTATCCTCTTTATCCTCCTTTTCCTCTTTCTCCTCTTTCTCCTTTTCTTTTTCTTTTTCTTTTTCCTTTTCCTCCTCTACCTCCTTCTCTTGCTCATCCTGCTGATCCTTGACCAACGAATCCCTCTTCTTCTTCTCTCCACCCTCCTCTCCCTCTTTTCCCTCTTTTTCTTTCTCCCCCTGACTTTCTTTTTCTTCCTTTTTCCCTTCTTCCTTCTCATCACTCTCATCTTTCTCCCGCTCACCCTCTTTCTGTTTCTCTTGACTTTCTTTCTCCTCTTTATCGTCATCTTTCTTTTCCTGTTTCTCCTCCTTCTCTTCCTCTTTCTCTTCCTTCTTCTCCTCTATATCGTCTTCTTTCTTTTCCTTCTTCTCCTCCTTCTCTTCCTCTTCCTTTTCCTTCTTCTCTTCCTCCTCGTCTTTCTTCTTTTCCTGCTTTTCCTCATCTTCGTCCTTCTTCTTTTCCTTTTTCTCCTGATCTTGCTCCTTCTGTTCCTCATCTTTTTCCTGTTTTTCCTGCAGTTCTTGCTCCCCCTCTTTCTTTTCTTTTTCCTCCTTATCCTCTTTTTCTTGTTCCTGTTTATCCTCCTTTTCCTCTTCCGTTTTCTCTTTTTCTTTCTCCTGCTTCTCCTCCCCCTCTTCTTGCTCTGGTTTCTCCTCCTTGTCTCGTTCTTTTTTCTCGTGCTCATCTTCCTCTCCCTTTTCCTTCTCCTGCTTTTCCTCTTTTTCTTGTTTCTCTTGATCGTCTTCTTCACTTTTTTCTTCTTTCTCTTCTTGCTTCTGTTCTCCCCCCTCTTCCTTCTCTTCCCCCTCTTCTTTCTGCTGTTCTTTCAACTCCAGCGCGTCGTGTTCATCCTCCTTATGCTCTTGATCGTGTTTATCTATTTGTTCTTTTTCTTGTTTCTGTTCATCTCCTCCCCCAGCAGGAAGCTCCATAGCAAATTTTTCCTGTGGTTCCCTGCTGGGTAGATGAAAGTCTACGTGTTTATGTTTTCCGAAAGCACCACCGAAATGACGAAATGCTGCTGCAGAAAACAATGCTAATAAGAGAACAAATGTTGCTCTTTTCCATGTTATCCATTTGCTCTGACTATGCTGCATCTGGTGCTGCAGTAAGCGTTGCTCGAGGAGGCGAATATCTGCTGCCTGCGCCTTCAACTCAAACTCCCTCCATGTTTTATAATCCCCAGCCGGCTCTATCCTCGCCGGTACTAAACGAATAACCCCTGCCTCACCCATTGTGACAGGTACTCGCATCATTGCTGCTGCTGCTGCTGCTGCTGCTGCTGCTGTCGCTGCTAAGCGTGCTGCTTGCGTTGCAGCATCGGGGCGAGAGGCCACGAGAGCGCAGGCAAGAGCAAATAAAGTGTAGCTTTCTTCTTCTTACAAGGGACCATTTGGGTCCTCTGAAAGGATCGCAAGAAAGCAGTGAAGGGAAACTAGCTGCTACAATCAGCCAAGGAAGAACTCGAGTTCATCATGGTACGGAGGGCGACCCACGCCCCCGCACAATCCTGCCGATCAAATGGTGCTTTTGTGGTAAATTCAAATACTATAAGCAAAATAAAAGCTTTCAAATTCGGAACAATAAATTACAAGTGTCTACAGGATGCGCAGGCTCCGCATGGAGCGGACTCCAGAGGCCCGCGGTGAACCTCTTCGTTGATTGACAGGTCAAATTAAAGGTAAAATAGAGAATCAATAAAGACTATACGCCAGTTTAACGCAAACTGACTGAAAAAAGAGTTATTTGGCGTCTAAACTACACGCATATTCAAACGCCAAAGCATTTAACCCGTCACGGTTCCCCTCCCGGCCCCATGCTTGTATGAAACTCATTTGTGGGCTTTTGCAGAAACACCAACAGTAAACATCATTCCAATTGTGTTTGTCTTTTATAAATATAAAGGAAGTCTTCAAAAGCAACTGAGGCACCAACATTCAGACTCTCTTCTTTTCATTTTCCTTATCACTACCATCCAATGGGATGTTCACGTTCTCTCGACCAGTTAGCGCAGCAGCTTTCATCTTGTTTTTGCAAGTTAAGTGTAAACACTTACAAACATTCTATAAGTACTTTTAGAGGCAAAGCATGTGTTGCATGAGTTAGCGCAGAAGCTTTCACCTGCTTTCGGCACGTTCCGTGTAAACACTTCCAAACGCTCGACGAGTACGTTCAGAGATAAAGCATGCAGCAAACGAAGCTTCGCTGATGCTTCCTTGCCTGCACGCCGGGGGTTGGCTTGTACTACCAGCCGCAGCGCGGTGCGCTGCAACCCCATTCCTGGCTGCCTCCTCCCCTCAACACCCAGGCCCTGAGCTCAACGCCCAGTATGCCTCGGGACCGGGGAAGGAGGTCAACTGCTCTGGGGAAACTCTTGCTCAAGTCTTTAGCTACATTGCGGCTCGCGTATGTCCTAGATAAAGGCCAGAGAACAAGCGTTATATTCTCCCGCTCAGCTTTCACGCTTTAGGGCATAGGACCCGCGAAAGTTTGCTTTACCGATTCTGTGTGAGGCTGTATTCGAAAATTTCCTGCTCATGACTGCCGCTAGCGGTCTTCTACAGCAGGCTTCATTCTCTGGCTTCTGCTGCAGCGAACGTGTAGCTGCTTTGTGTAGCTTAGTCTATGAGAACATAACACCTGCTCGTCTAATTCCGTGTAGACTGCCTACTTGAGGTCAAGTAAGCATCGAACAACTGTCTACAGTGTTAGTTCACGCGGTGAACAGGGCGTATGTGTGCTAGTAAGCTGTGCTGCATTGCAGCGCTAGTTGCAGCAATATGCGGTTGAACTCCTCTTAGTCAGCCTCCACCAGTCACACCCCTGGAGCGTGCACCGCTGTGCAGAGACCGCCTGTGGATTGGAGGCGAGGTTAACTGCTTTTTGGGGACTGGTAAGTATTTCGACCCCAACGCAGCTCACAATCGTCCTCGAACAAGATCGAGGACTCTTGATATTTCAAAAAGCAAGGTATAGCTAGCTGAACTGGAGTCAAAACACTCAACGAAACAGTTCATAAAAGCCAGCTGGCCTACCAGACTGGCTGGTGTTGGTGCATGCATCTAGAGGCATCGATCTTAGACAGTAACATAATAAGGAGAACTAGCGCTGAAATACAAAACTCTTCATAAAAGCCAGATGGTCTCGCTTCCAGCCTCCTAGCGTCTCGGTCGCCGCGGTAGAAAGCTAATGCGAGCACCCTCGATCTTAGCGGAGGGCTGTCGTGAACCACAACAGTCCTCTCTAACCTGCCGAAAGGACAGGTAACCTCTTCACAGGACTGAAAGCACCCTACGCAGAGCTTCCGCACTGTCCGTGGCTCCTGTTGATAGGGTGATGCATTCACTAACTGTGGAGAGAATTGTGTTAACCCTTGGCACTCGATATTCAAGCGGCATATTCAATCGGCGAGCAAGTACAAAGACACGCACCAACTTCCCACAACCATACTGCATATGCACCCGCCTTTTCCCCAAGCAACGTGCATCTCGTGTTTCTGGTCGCAGGGAATTCCGAAAAGAAAGGATAGCAATACGGCAGACAGGAGGCGAATGGAATAGGAGATGCTGCCTCACTATGCATATGCATCTACTGCTCCGGACCCACAACTCGGCGCTCCAGGCCCAACCAGTAGCGTGGCCGGTGCTTGTTCAAGGCTCCCTGCACGATCTGACTGGGTTGGGAGGCGCGTTTTGATGCACGATTCCCACTAAAATATACATTGAACTGCATCCACTAGGCAGCAACAGTATGTGGGTGGACCGAGGGAGAAGCCAGCCCAAAATGTGACGAAACTGGAAGTGTTATTAGCAATGCTGAGCTAGCTATAGCAGGGGGCTACAAACACATACGCACGCAGTCACCCCCGAAATGTGGAAGATGGCACGCAGATGCTCCTAAAGAATTGCTTCGCAGAGGTGATTCACTTAGACCCTCCCATGTCCATATTTTGGCCATTTAATGTACTGTTATCGTTTCCTATGACCTCCGCGAGCCATTACACATGCGTCCAGCACCGCAGTCTCCTTCAGTTGTAAATTCTCTCAATTACGTTGCTGCCTTGTTGTGGAGAAATTTCTGGGAGCTCCAGTAACTCGGAGCATTTTAAAAGTTAGTGATGCGAGGTTGGCGCTATGTCAATGATGTAAGCAGTGCGCTATCACGAGGACGGTCAGCGCATGGCTCTACGCAACAACGGGCAGATACACGTGTTCTCCAGAATTTTTTACTTCGTAGCAGGCGATTGAGAGCTCTTTCTTGGGTAGCGGATACGTGGACTCTCTGCTCGTGGTACGGTGTAAGTAACAGGCGGTTACTTGATGTGTTTTCGAACCTGATCATTTGCATGAAAAATAAACACTCCTCTAGATCCACGAACCGTTGGCTCTCCCGCAGTACTTGCAAAGAGACCTCAGGTGCTCCAAGCGCACCAGCACATTCCGGCTGAATACAAGCACGCCGTCCATTTCTGTCATCTCTTCCATGAGCGGCTAGCCTTCGTTTATTGGACCTAACATATCGTGGTTGACCTGTTGCTTTAGGTCTGCAGGTGTATTCGCGAATGCAGAGTGCATAGGTGTCTACTCTAGTTTGTGAGTACTATGGAACGCCGTTTTGTGCTCGTCGTCGAATCTATTGAAACTGAAAAAGCGCATAACCGAAATCAGATGAAGAGTTGACAGCTGAACGCTGCAAAGAGTTAATTCCTTCGTCGATGGTAGGCAACGGAAACTTCTGTTTCGCCACGATATTGTTAAGAGGCTGAAGTTCGCCCCACTCTCAGCTCAGTGAAGTTACTTGAGGTTGTCAGCCAATTCATCCCCGCCGGCCCTTTGTACCCGACAGGGGGGATTGAGGGATGTGCTCCACAAATGCATTTCACAGGAACAGCCTATTATACAGTCATGCTTATTGAAAGATTGCACTAAAGTTTAATATTTTTTATTGACGTGAACAAAATCCGGCAAAACACTGGGGGATATGCCACCATATCATCAGTTTCCTTGGCCCGCAGTACCTCCATTGTTGCTGCCCCGCACCCATCGTGTGAGGGAATTCGGTTGCCTACTGGGACTCGCAGTCTGGTTTTCGCCTGCGTTTGTGTCCTCGTTGGGGGCGTATGTCGGAGAGACAGACACTTGTGTGATGCACCCACTGATGAGAGTGTAGTCCAGTTCCGACGGTCATATGATCCGTACAGCCCCAAACTCTCCTGATCTATTATGGAGAAGTTTCTCACTCCATTTATGTAGCATTGCCTGCTCAAAGTCAGAAAGCTCCCATACTTCGGGAGCGGTCCATAAAAGTGGTACACTTGCTTAGCAGTAAACAGGCTTGCCGTGCTCCCCTTTCTAATACGTAAGATGCCAGTAAGAACTGCCGCCCTTCGTTCAAGACGAAAGCACACATCCAGAGAGGAAAGGAGAGCTCCTGCACTGCCGCTGCGTCGTGCCACCCTCCACATCTGGACGCTCGGCAGAGGTGCATCTCTTTTTCATGACGTGAGTTTGTTGTAGTTACATCTTCCGCCAAATAGGCGGCAGCTACTGCTCTTGTTTCAATGTGACGAGGTCACCAGCCGTTGATCACCTGCTCGGTGGAGCCAAGGTCCTGATCAAGCTCCAGTAAGCACGAGAAGAGAAGGGCTGAACTTTTGTCAGGCTTTAGTAAGCATTTTTGTAATTATAGACGACTTTGTGCAAACTCCTTCGCTACGAAGCATTTCTGTGCACGACGCCGCACAGCTGTATTTCTGGGGTTTGTCGCTGCACCAGCCCTGTGAGAAACTCCCCTTTAGAAACGCCAGTCTAAGGGGAGTTCGGGGCCTTAGGGATCATGTGGCCCTC